ACCTTGTAGATATGCCAGATCACGTCTACAGCAGAGGAAGTAGCAAACGGTTTCACTAAATTACTCAGTTCATTGAAACCTAGATAAAGAAGGTTTATTAATCAATGCAGGTTAACTTATCAGTTCTTTTCTTTTATCACAGTACACATTGTTCTCTTTTCTCTTCGCTCTGGAAGTTTGTCAATCTGCTGTACTTAAGCAAAATGTGAAGAATTCACCAGCATCAATCGACCCTATCGTGGAATGGGGACTTAAAGAACTCTTCTCATCTCGTCGTTATCGACGCTCTGTTCTCTCTACCAACTCGAATATGGGTACGATTGCGCAAACACCTTCTTATGTCAGTAATGTGCGTCTACATGGCAAGACCCATATGTTCCTTCAGATCACCCAGAACGGGACAGTCAGTGGAGCCACACAATGCGACAACAATGTATACAGTAAGAAATGATTTGTATAATGCGGTCGTCTTCAGTGTTTAGCAATTGCCAAAAGGAGAACCTCAGTTATTACTTAATTAGCAATTGATGAATGAGGCTGAGTAGGATATGAAGAATTAAGCAGATCGAGGAGGGTGTTATCCACAGAGTCCGAAGGCCGAGGTGGATAACACCATCCCAGATCTGCTTAATTCTTCATATCCTACGAAAGCCGAATTCATTTATTGCTTTATTATTCCTATGTTCTCGAATCTTAACGATTTTAGTATGTTCACAAGTCACTCGAATCGCTTTAGTCTGAGTGATGTATTTATTAACGAATCCACTCGTGAGACAGTATAAAATGACGCTGATAGGGCCTCAGTAGTTCTTAAAAGTCTGCAAATCAATAAAGGTAAAAACGCTAGAGCGCCAATAAGAGCTGACCTCTTGGAGAGTGATTCTCAGTCGCGTAGTCAGAAATTGTCCGAAGTGGGAACAAAATATATGCATTCACGAAAAAATGTGAAATGTTTTTAATTAGCCTCATCATCCAATTTTTGACTCGGTATGTTAACTCCTTTATGTTTTCAAACAGGAAATATTATCAGAATTAGTTGAAACAGTGTGTATCGTGATGACTGAAAAGTTATTAAAATGACTGACTGACCGAACTAACAGGGGTTCACCAATACATGCGTCTCACTCAAGGCTATTTGCATCATTTCCCGATGAAATCACTCACTTGCACATCGTATCCATTTGCTATCCTCAGTAAACCTTGAATAGGCTAAACGGGAAGTTTCATAAAACCGTCGTTGCTGCGTCAGTTTTGGAACAAATCACTTATTATTGGTATTACCGGGGAATTAAATTGGCTACCACAATATAAGAGATGTTGGTCGTTCGTGAAAGCGAAGAATGAAAATGTAAGACGCAGAACTACAAAACTGTAGATCATATACTTCAAAAGTTTCGGTATTTGAAGCACGTTTACTAGGGCATCCTTAGTTATTAACGTGAAAGCGAAAGTTTGCTTTTCTAATTGTCACTTTTCTGCTTTTTTTTTTTTTAGCCAAACTTGAGGTGCAATCCATGGGAAACGGAATGAAGCGTATAAAAGGAATTGAAACTGGGCGTTTTTTAGCTATTAACGGAACTGGAAAACTTTACTCTACGGTACGTTGTCATTTGGAATCCTATTTCTCTTCTCTGTTTTAGCTTTCCTCTCTCCTAAGGCTCTCAACAGGTAAACAAAAGAATATATTCAGTTACAAAAGCCTTCTCTCATCGTTCCCTGGGCGCTATCTTTTCGCCTCTTATAGGCACAAACAGGCCTCTTTGAAGGAGATCAGTTATTCAGAAAGGGTCAACTTATGCATTAGCTACAGGCGTAAAGTAAAGGCGCTCCTTCTTTCAGGCCAGTTATTATTGCAACACTCAAGAAGTTATTCCTTTTATTTTACAGACTATACCTAGCGATGAAACCATCTTTAAGCAGGAATTACAGAGCTCATCGTACAACACTTTTGCATCAGTAAAATACTACAGGACTTCACTTTACGACGCTTTTATATCAATAGGAAAAAATGGGGTAGCGAGAAATGCTTCGGGTACCAACAAGAATCAAAACAAAGTGAAGTTTCTTTTATTAGCCAGTTGTTCATAATGACGAAACCAAGAACTGCTTTTACCATTTAGCAACTATAAATGATATAGAATAAGTAAAATTGATGAGTTTCAGCACCAAAGATGGAGGAATTTTGGAATCTTTAAGTTTTGATTCGCGAGCTTAATTAATTAGACCATAAAGCATATAAGCTAAAATTTAAAGGCTTAAATTAGAAAAATGTCATATTTATTTATTTTATTTATTTATTTATTTATTTGATATATTTATTGTGAAGATCTATCAATTGGTTCTTCACTGTCAGCAATTGACTCGTTAGCTGTTTTCAAACGGCTTTTTGTAAACTTTTGAAAAGTATTGTTTAAGTTTATGTCCTTATTTTTCAGGATAGCTGTTAATATTAAACGACCATGTGGTCTCGCGGTCATAAAAGCGTCAGCTATGAGCAATACGACGGACACATATCTTCAAACGGCCATTGCACAATATTACAATAAGAAACGTATTCGACCTCCCCCCGCCCCTCCCCCAAGAGGTCTTCTTGGAAAAAGAAGGTCTTTAAACATTAATTTATTGGAATTCGAAAGAGTTTTTATTGCCTTACAACCAGAAGTAAAGTGCTCGTATCGTTCATGGTTTGCGCTTTCCCAAATTATTATTATTATTAGTTAGGTCTTCATTACAGTGTGAATTTTCAAAATAAACGCAAATAAAAACAGCATTAAAGAAAACATTTGTTTTTTATGTATATGTAAAAGCTAAAGCTAAGGTCCTTTTTTCTGTTGTTATTGTGGAACAGTCTGCGTCAGTCTTTCTTTGAGAACACTAATTTAAACTAATTTAAACAGCCCGAGGAGTGTGTGGCCGAGTGGTTAACACCTCGAACTCCGAATCTGGAGGACCGGGGTTCAAGACTCGCCCGTCGCGTTGTTTCCTTAGACAAGGAACTTTAGTCTCCTTTGTTTCTCTTCACCTAGGTGTACAAATGGGTAATGGACTAGCATCTCGTCCAGCAGGGGGTAGCAATACTCCCTACTAGTTGCCTCATGCTAATGAAACCGGGATAAGCTCCGGCCGTTTGGGCTTTTCAGGCTTTTGGCTCGTGTGCGCCTTTACCTTACCTTTTCCTCATTCAATCACAGTCCTGTAAACTAGAAATGTACTTTGTATTTTTCCTTTTTCGTAATATTTTGCTGACCCCACGTCATCAATCTTCGGCTTCGAAGGGTAGGTGTTACTGGTAAATAATGAATAATAACAATAGTACTAATTAGCCTGCTATCCTGTGGCCAATGGTGCAGTCATTTTACCCCTCTCTTCCCATCAATGTCCTAACACTACAAGGGTACGAAAGAACATGAACCTGGGAATCGAACTCGACATCGTCCCTCTAATAAGGCCGCTTACTAACCGACTGAGCTTTTTCTTGCTCCTTTCTAATGTTAAAGTGGGGCAAAATGAGGTGTATTCGAAGGGAAATGTGCAAATGGCTAATAACAATACTCATATTTTATTATCCTTTCATTACAGTCAACTCTCGCTTGCGAAAACCGCACTTGTACGAACACCCCAAAAATATGGTCAGCGGCTAAAAGCTCGTCAAAATATTTTTAGTTATCGTGAAGAAAATGTGTTCTCGAAATCCACTAGTATGGTTAAAGGACCCTAATCGCGGGCCCAAGAATGTCCTGATGTATTTTTAGAAGATTTTTCAAGGAGTTTAAGTGAACTGACATTTCAATGTTTTATGTAATCAATTTACAAACCAGAAATGCAGGACCAGGTATTGAAAAATAAAAACGGAAAACAGGATAAAGGTCATCAAATGTGTCTAGAAAAAATAAAGGTCTCCAGTTGAGTTGTTGATCTCTGATAAAAATGACTTTTCAAAACACGTGGAGCAGCTATTTTCACTACATTTCAGTCTAATAAGAAAGTTTTGAAGATATGGGAGTAAATGCGATAAAACTGGATTCAAGCTAAATGTAATGCATTTCATGTACCGTAAGGCAATGTTTTAAGAAAAAAGTTGAGTGGCTACTATTATCCAAGTTCTGTCAAGATTTCAAAGGTTAAGTAAAAACTGAGAAAATAAAATGTTTTTTGTTTTGCTAAGTGGACAAGAGGCGTTCATTTTCCCGAGACAACTGAGAGTGATTTAAATGTAAACTTTTGAGTATACCGGGTATGGGTCTTTTCGGCTTCTTTTACCGCTAGAAGATCTGATGTCAATCAATAGAAAATTGCCCAGTTCCATATTCGATCAATTATAGATAACGTTATGGAACTCTGACTAGCCAAAAATGGGCCTCGGAAATGACTTCATTCAATTCAGTATCGAGAAAAGCAATTTCATGGAAAATCACAAACATACATTATTTCCTAACCCAAAAAATAACTATACAGAGAGCAATTGTTTGACTAAAGAAAGAAACATTCAGTCTCGCTTTCTCTCGACAGTACGGCTAAAGTCGATTCATAAACATTTCCGCTGAATTGTAATAATTTAGCAAAATAAATTGAACTCGGACTCCGTTTTTTTTTGCAGGAATATGTTTTTCAGGTTGTCTGACCATTTTTGAAACAATTATTGCCAACGTTTCAAATAGCTACTGTAGGCATAGACAGAAGCTTCTAGGCTTGTCTTAAGCTTTTTATCACGACGAAGTAATTTTCCTCAGCTCATTTTTTTTTTCTGCGAAAAATCAATCAAGAAAATTGCAAGAAATATGCTTCTTTCCAAAATACAGCAAAACGCACGATAAATTAATTTGTTTTGGGTAAATGTCAGGAAAACTTGACGAGAAAAGTCATTCCATTTAATGACTAACCAATAACAACAAGCCGTATTCGGACGTTGTGTTTCAATTAAGGAAGCTTCTAAGTCAAAACATCATCAAGACAATTTGAAAACTAACTCCAAACATTAAAAATGCTTTCATTTTGGCCATCTGTTGTTTAGAGCGGCGTCAAGGGTGGCAGGCCGGCTATCTATGGAATAAGAAGCTATTATATTCAGGGTTTAAAAAAGGAAGGCTCATATACAGTGATTCATCCCTGAATGACAGAGTAAGCCTGAAGCCCGGCACAGGTAAAGGTGAGCTAATATTTCGAAAAAATTTGAACTTCTACGCATCCAGTTCCTTTGAAAAAAAAATTTCAGTTTACTATATTTTCCCCAGATCAGAAGTATTTTCAAACGCCCCGGGCAATTTCAATGGGGAACTTGGTAGTTTTACTGAAAAAGACTTGCCCAGTTTGTTCTCACCACATCGTTAATTTTTCCAAGAATAAAATAAAGATATCTCGATCGGTTTACATGGAAACTTACAGAAACGAGGACATTGAAATAGTTACAACTTTGTGATAAACTAGGCTCAGTGAAATTAAATTAATCACGCATTTTGTATTATTTACCAGATGAAAAAAATTTAAATTTTTGCCAGAATAATTTTAAAACATATATGGTAAGAATGGAAGGGAAACTGCTTCCGAAACTGCTAATATAAAGAGAAACTGTGATAGTTGTATAGCATAAGAAATCAAAATTCCTGTGCCACTTTGGGAGAATAATATTATACATTATTGTTTCTATTTTTCGTTTTCTTTTTGTAATTTTGTAATAGCGTTCACTCTCTTCCAGGCGGAGGAGTCTTTACCTCGACGTTCCGTTTCCTAAATTGGCGATTTGTTAACTTTTAGTATTAAGCAACACGGTCGTAGTGTGTATACGTTAAGTCGTATCACTGTTGACACTGTTACGAATTTCATTGCACATTAGATTTGGCGGCAAAAACATTGTACAGTTAAAGCAAAAAAAGAAAGGATTGCCTTTTTATTTTTTCTCTTTACCTAAACACATATTGGAAGGGATAAGATCAATAAACTTATATTTGAAACAGATAAAATATTTCTAAATTCTTTGGTCATTTCACACGCAGTTAGACATCATGTTCACACGAGATTCAACTTTCAAACAATTTGGACAAAACTAACTATGAAGGTAATTCTTTAAAAACAGTGAACATAAGGTGTCACAGTTCTGATGTGGGGCGGTGTCGAGGTTGATATTCGCTTTGAGTTATACAGCCGTAACTGATAACATTCGAATTCGATCTTGGGTTAATCTGTTTTGTGTAATGGCATAAGAGTCAAAGACGAACTGAAAATGCTCGTTAGAATTACCAGTTAAAAGTATTTTTAAGAACACTTGCTGCTTAACCGAACGATTTTCAGCGGACAAGTCCCTTGCGAGCAGTGTATTAATGGCAATGGGGTACCAGCTTGGGTACTGTTTTCATTGTTAAAGCCACGCAAAAGATTGTGCCTCCTGTTTTACTGGAGAAATATACCCACGAGTACTGGAAAAAGAGGTACCGTAGTAGTGATTAACAAGGCTTTTTCAGTGAACCATTAGTTTTTATTTTCACATAAGCTGAACAAAATGATAAACACTTCATTTTTTAGCCAATCAGAGAGCGTGAATTGCCTTAATGTTATTTCGTAGCATCCTATAATAAAGGAACTGAACTCATATTGATCCCTTGAAGATTTCAACACAGATTAGCCAGTCATCTAATTTCTTTCTTTTTCTTATTTTTTAATCATAATTTTTTTAGTTTCCGTTGTCGTACTTAATCCTGATAGCCGAAGGATATACGTTCCATTAGATGAATCTACCTGAAATATTCATAAATATAAATTTAATTTTGATTTTCATGGTGGCATATTGCCTACAAAAAGTCTCATTCCGGATGGAATTAGATTTACGAAATGTTGGTTTAAAGAAGGGAAAAAAATATTTTGGCCAAAAACCTACCAAAAATAACTTATCCGCTGTTTAATCAATTCAGCTTCGATCAGCTGATGGCGACCAAGAGGAGTATTAAGGGTAGATTCTTCTTCGCTCTGGGTTCTTAAAACAGCTAAAGAACATTAAAAAAGTTTTACTTTGAGAACAAGGAAGAAAAGTAAGACCGACACAAACAAGTCAAATGTAGGCTCGATTACCAGCCGCTGTTCGGGAAAATGAGCCGGCACTCATCCCCCCTCTCTCTTCGAGGAGGATCAAAGACCAGACTCGGGAGAAGGTGGAAATCGAGCCTATTGTAAGTCAAATGCTGAAAAAAGTGTTCACGAAGTTGTGGCAGGAACCAACCTAACGTATAATGGGAATTCTGTCTTGTGACTTTTGCCAAAAATGACAGCATATTTTGTTAGCATCACTCATGAGGATGATGTTTTCAAGTACTGAACTGATTAAAAAAAGCCTTCTTCGAGAATTAAAATTGCTAGATTTTAATATTTAGAATGCACTGCTTAACTTAATAGAGATCCGAGACATTGCGCTTAGCTCAAACATTGACACCGTCGAAATTGTCATGTCCTCAAAATGCTATTTCTTTCGTTAGTATCCGGCATGATAAAAAACCATCTAATATTTATATGTCATCAAATGGGCGAATTGTAAGATTTTTAAAATACTACCTTAGCCACTCAATTTTGGACAATCAATTATTTATAAAAGTTTTTGTCACGTACGGCTATAAAATAGTCATTTTTATAAAAGCGTTCGTGATAGGAATATTTCATTAATTTCGCCAGTTCAAACATCAATTTTCCACTTAATAAAAATCCAAAATTCTCTTAGATGATGTGGGTACATTCAGTGGGAGCATCACGTAATTTTAATACACGCCGGAATTAACGCTGAGATTTAAAAAACTCTCACGAGTCGATTCAATATTGGGCACTGGCCGCGCTAAAGTTTCAGTTGGATTTTATCAAAAATGATTTGTTAAAGAAGGAACGCTGAGAATAGTTTCAAGTGAGAAGAGGAAAAACTATATGAAATAATATCAGATAGAAATAAAAGCGTTATTAAACAGAGATATTAAAGATTCTACTAAAATCTCGGACTTAAACTTTGGCTTACCGGACACAAACTCGTTTTTGGCCATACAAATACTCTTAAAAGAAATAACTAATGTAATCTTAAACTCATATTAGAAAAAATAAGACGCTTTTATTCACACAAACAATCTTCTAAATGTAAATTAATGAAAGCTCAATTTGAAGTTCTCGACAGGTTTTATTGTATTTTCTAAGTGCCCTCTTTTCAACCGTATCTCCTTCTACGTCACAGATAAAGTGTCGCAACCTCCAAGCGTCACGGACTTTTTACGTTAATATTCATTTTGCTCCATTAACTGACAAAACTTAACTTCGCAGGTTCAAGGCTGTGAACTCGATACGAAAGTTACTTTAGATAGAGAAAAAGTAACATCAATCGCGGCAGAACAAAATGGTGGATGTTGAACACGCATTTAGACGCGGGAAAAAGTACGAATGGGTTTTAACGAAACCTTCTGCTCTGTTACAAGCCAAGACAGTACAATGGACGGCAGCCAAGATAAATCTCAATATCTTCTCTCTGAGGGACGTTGGTGAAGCTTCCGAAGAGGAGATTGCCTTTGCCAATATAAAGTTATTTAGTAAAAATCATTGGTTTCTTTGGATTGAGGATAATGGAGACGTAAGTGGAACTCAAGTGCAGGGCTATGAAGGTAAGCTTTAAATTTAATTTACCCGCGTGCTATACTGAGGAAAAACTACTTCAACAAATAACAACTTTCTTAGAAATTAAGTGACTATAATTTGGTAGGTTTAGTTTTTAGCCAGAGAATGATTCCTTGAGATATGTACGTAAAAATTCTTGACGTTTGTAAAGTTAGCACTAGTAAAGGCTGTTTAACTGGTTTTCAAATGTGAACTTAATCAGTTCTGGGCTCAGTAGGTCTTAGTATTAAGCCATGATTTTCGGTGGAATATCTCAGACTTAGAGTGTGACCCATTCGGTTTTATCATTAAAACGATGGTAAAATTTTCTTCAATGAGAATCTTGTATCACTTCAAATAATTATTCAAATTCGTCTTTTCAAGATAACATCAGTAAGTTTGAAAATTTTGGTTGTTAAATGCTGCTTAAATGAGTTTGTTCAAGCCAAGGTGGCCGCCTCTGATCAATTATGAGCTAAAAAAGGAAAATAAAATATATGTATTTCCCAATGAGTTCCACTTATTGCATTACTTTTTTGCGTGCTTTTTAATCTGCAAAATATCTTGAATAAAAGACAGGAATATTCCGTCTAACATTTGACAATTAAAGTCATTATATAATTGTGTTTTCAGTGCACTATGAAACAAAGAAATAATGGTAAGCTGAGATTAAAATGATTTACATGAAATAGTCTGCATAAAGAAGTCAATGAAGAATAAGTGTTTTTGTACGACACAGAGCAAGTTTTCCGATGATAATAAAAAGTGAAGCGTATGACGATCGCCAAACGAAAATCCTCTAATACAAATCTGAAGAAGGAATAAAAAAAGTCGGGATAACCATTAAAACTTAACGGCCTTTGTGGTCTTGTCTTTAGCAATATCTATATAGAATCAGTGTACAGGAAGTATTGTATTGTAGTATATACAGTATATTTATAGTTGCTGGACTTGGTTGAGTAAAGATTGACACATCTATTTCCTTCTTAGCGCGCAATCCTTGTCATGATTGAATTTGTCCACCATATATGTACTGACCCAAAGCCTAACCCTCTCAGCTCCTGATAATATATGAGTATCCACTCAAATAAAACCCACGCGTTATTATTTAGCTTTTACTTCGTTGACGGTTTTTGGACGCCCTTTAGTATATTGATAAGACTATTCACCTTTTTGTGGTCAACCGCTTCTTTTTGTGTGGTGAGATATTCGCAAACCTAGACTGTATAACGACTTTGTCCAGACGGTGTATGTGTTCTGTTGAAGCAGTTCGCATTTAAGACGTTACAAAGTACATACACAAGTTGGCCTCAAAATATGTCATTATGCGAAAGAATAAAATCTGCGAGGTTAACAAGATCATTCAGATGAGAGCTATCACGTCCTAGCTACGTCCTTGTGATGTTGTTTGCTTTAAACGTATTTCGTAATTCAAATTGTCGAAGTGATTTCAAAAATGACGGTACTTCTTCAGAGTGTTTAAACGTGCGCTTGCTGATTTCCAACCGTTAATTCCTCTTAGCTTGCCTTTCCGACTCTAACTACATACAAGAACTTCCGCTGAGGTAAAGGAGAGGAAGGAAATAATATTGGATGCGGTAAATGTGTGGGCGACAAAGAGACTGCATAGCAGATTGGAACCTGGTAACAACCAAAATGTCAGATGCCGCTGGTGTTCCTTAGGCATATTACCAAAGCTAAACAGGCGCATTATCAGCTAAATATCGACTCGATAGTTTCCAAAATTTCTAGCAATTGAAAACTATGGAAATTCTAATATGTTTCCCTAACCGTAAAATAATAATAATAATAATAATAATAATAATAATAATAATAATAATTAAATATAAATGATAATATTACTATTAATAATAATTCAACACCGGGCTATTCGTCCGCGCTGCCCCAACTTTGTACTAATCTACAAAGTGGATAGCAGGGTAAAAATCATGATATAGCAGCTGTGCCTTGGGACGCCAATATTGAGAGCAAGTACGGGGAGAAGGTCGATTATTATAAAGACCTGGCCATAGAGCTCGATATGAGTAACTGTGATTTATAGGAAAATGAATTTTTAAAGCAGTTTCTTCGAGTCGAGAACTATGTATTAATGCTTAAGTATTTATTGTAAACTTTTAGCAAAATGTAAGTAAATTTATAAAGGCAGATTATTTCACTTTTTTTATTACGTAAAAATCTTGTGTGGCTTTATTTTCTAAGGTCGTGATCCATTAGTATATTTTCCAATGTAGGCATCAATACTCAGGAACATCAATGCCTCCCTTCGCAAAGTACCCAAAGTGCAAAATAAAAAAAATCATCTCGTTTTTATTTCTAAAGAAGTTAGTGGTCACTCTTCCTATTGCTATGAGGCCATGATGATTCATGAATTGACTATCTTTTCACAGTATTCACGCTTGCGTTAAAATTAGTGTTGCTATATACCTCGTAAATAATAGTACACTTGCGAAATAATCGACTGATAGAAGGGGCTGTATTCTTGTATATATACGATTAGTTCTTTGGTGGATTCAATTTTATTTTGTGATTTTTCGTTTAGCATAATGTTTGAGGTTTATGTATTTGAGCGGAAACGATCATGATAATTTTAAACTCTAGAGTTTTAACACTAGCCAAGGGCTGCGAGGAAACAAAACGGACATGGAGTTTGGAATTCATTGGTGTTATGTTGTCCGCACTTACACTATTGCAAAAGCCCTGAAATTTTCTTTAAGTGATGCTGCGGGATTGACAATCAGTGACAATGTACGTGGTTTGTGCTTAAAGCAAATGACGATATTAGAGCGTTGATTACCTAGTAGTATCCATCGTTTCTCGATTAACTCTCAGAAATACTTAGGCTACAGAACGCTCCAAACAATACTACTCTCCTTGGACACTGAATCAAAAAGATGATGAAATATTTTATTTGCTTGTACGTTATTTTAAGCTAAACCAAACAGGCCAGAGGAATTAAATATTTGGGAGCAACTAGGGAAGCTTGTTTTCACATTGCTTAAAGAATCGGTGTCACGAAATTCAGCCAAATTAGGAAATTACAAATGTTAAGAGAAACGTAAAAATAACAGCTTAAAACTTTAAAGAAAGGTTAAAATAACATAACAGAAACAACAGATGCCACGGATCATGGGCAAAACTGAACAAGATTGAAACGGATTGAAATTAGGGTTTTTGAAAACTGTTCAGCCTAACAGCCGTTTTCAAAGTTGATCCCTGCTGCTTGCAACTTCAAAAATAATGCTCAGGAGACATATTTGTTCGTCTCGGAGCTCTGATTTTGTCATTTACCTGTAATTTCTTTGCTTACTTTAAGTTCCATAGCGATTGAGGGTGAGTGATTGGCAAAATTAAACAAAATGAACTGGACTGCCGTGACACAGCCCCTTTAAGATTCATGCTCTTTTTAAAATATATATTTACGCCATTCAGTATTCGCCGGCTGAGTCATGTTAACCCGGCCTGAAGGCTAATACTTTATCTTTAAAGTGACCGACCGAGGATGACGTGATGAAGGCGAACTTTACTGTTGGAACACAGATCACCGCCGAGAGATTTGCACCCTGCTACTCGGCATTCCGGCCGTAGACAGCAAGCGTAATATGGTGATCAATTTAAAACGTTCTGGATCAGACTTTTGAATTATTTTATGTCAAGCCATCTAGCCCAAATTTATGAACTTGAATTTCTTTCCTGATGCTCTACCCTGCGAACAGAGTCTCCTTCGATCTTCCTAGGAAAGATCGAAGCGACTCTGCCGGCAGGGTGCTGATGCTCTGGCATTGTGGAACAGTAACTTAAGAGCAAGGATCTGCTTATACTGTGTAAATGACCTCAGTTTTGTTGTATTATTTTACAGTTACCCTTCAATTACAATCATTTGGCAACGGTTTGGTTCGTATTTACAGCCCGAAAATGGGAAGATTTATTGCAATGGATAGCAACGGCAGGTTGTTTTCTACGGTAAGTATAAAAATTATACCATTATGTTCAGTACTTAGTTTTGTTAAAATCGACAAAGACGGAATGTGAACTGAACAGTCTTGATGGTTCGGCCATGCTGTATGCACAGGTACTATTAAAAACAATCTAAGAAGTCTTAAGAAGCAAACAAATAAACTGGTACAGGAGAAACCCTTTAGTATAAAATAGAATTCGAACTTTTCAATATTTATTAGCGTTCTGCTTCAGTGTTACCGAGATCTCAGAACATCAATGAATTAACCACGGGAAGCCATTCGATCTTTAGTTCCACCGTAAGTCTTGCCATTTCGCTTCACTTAAACGATGTCGTCATCGTTGCATGGCGCAACTCGATGCATGTGTGTATATATTCAGAGAATTTAAATAAAGACTATCTCTGCAGGATTAATAAAAGAAACCAAAAATCTGTGACAATTAAAAAAAAAAATTAAAATTTTCTTTAGTCTGTTCCAGGCGTTCGGATAGTGGAGTGCGGCGCGAAGGACACCCTTACACCATCCCCTCGTTGTTTTTTTTCTTTGCTCACATCTCTTTGCGCTGTCCCCACGTTCTGAACGCCTGGAACAGGGTACATTTTCTTCCGCAGGAAGTTCCTGCTGTTTCCTTTTAGTCTCTGAATCACTGTTAATAAAGGAGAACATCGACGTTTGTATTCATTACTATAGACAACCGGCTTGAAAGATTAGCTATTGAGCCTTAAAGAAAGAGGCCAGAATTTTTAGCAGGCTAGGGCTTACGATTGAAAGATGATAGTATGAAGAGGGGTCTTTTTTGCATGAGCATGCGCGACCGCTGAACAAGCGATTTGCACGGAGGCTCACCAAATGGATTGCCTTCATCAAAATTTGCGTGTCTCAAAGCTATCATCGCGATTATTTTGCTCGTTGGTTTTGGCGAATGTGCTAGTGATTTAACAAAATGTGTACCTTGGGTTCTAGACGATATCTTTTTTTTATCGATACTGATGATTCGCGACGAAGCTGCTTCAACGAGGCGCGAAGTGCCGAGGAGAAAGAGCTTTTAATATCAACCCGTGAGCAAGTTCATTTCATCTTAGGTATTTTGAGAACGGACCTCTGGAACCAGGGTACAAAGTGTGTAGTTTGCCAAAAAAAAAAAAAATCTAACATGCTCTCCACAAAACGAAGTAGACCGGCTTTAACATACCAGGAGCTACTATCAAATTTCATCTTCCCACTTTACCTGGACAACAGCGCGCGTATATGTAGTGCTTGTAGGACTGCGCAGACCTCATCAAAGTATAAGGAAAATGCCGAAACGTTTGTTGATGTAAGTAAACACTTTCAACCTTCTTTGTTTTGAATTGGGAAAGGAACACACATATTAAAAAAAATATTGCAAATTTCAGCGAGTGAGTTGGAAGGGCGCAAAAGTCAGTGTTCTGTTCATCAGTGAATTAATAATATGTTCTACAATTTTCCTGGCACTTTTAAGCTACAAAATTAAAAGCACCCGAGATGTAGATTAGTCACCTGGTGAGATGTTGGTGATGTTGGTAACTCTGTATGTCTCGAAAATAAAGAAATGAGGCACAGTCAAAACTGCATTCAATAGGACCGAAATTAAAGTCGAATCTTAACACCGATTTTGATGAAACAATCGGTTAGGTTTCCCAAGAAGTACAGTAAACATGTGATGCCGACCAAACGTTAAAAATTATCAGAGCACTTACGTTCTGGCTAAAAGCAAACTCCTGTACAAGATGCGTTACAATGTTAGTCCACGCAAAAACAAGAACTTCTATAATTTTCCGATAAACAAACTTTGTGTGGCTAAAATACTTAAAGGAACACCTTTCTATTCCAACTGATGACGACATGGTAGTCGCCCGCTGATCATAATTAATCCACTCCCGAAATATGGCTAAATAAGCTATCCAGAAATTATTGACAGAAATCCTCTACGGCATCGAGAAACTAATTTACATCCGATTTATAGACAAACACTAAATAAAGAACATTTTGCTCAATATCTACCCCATCAGCAATGCATTCTATGCCAAACTTTGCGGTTCTTGAAGGGGAATCAAGACACACGTCGAGCGCCAAACAACAACAAGCAGCCATGTTCGTGTCTGACATCCTTGAGAAACTTGCTATTTCACCTCGTTCAGCGCATCAGTCTTTACTTCTTTTGTACAAAGAAGGTCTTTCCTAAGTTTCTGCTACCATTTGAACCATCAAAGTGAAGAATTTGACTCCTATGACTATGCACCCTGGTCGCTGTCTCTAATCGCGTGCTCTTTATCAAGTCTTAGTGCGCATACTCATGCAAAAAAAGACCCCTGTTAGGATTATGCGAAAGTTGAACATTCTTTCCGTATAGTCAGTATAGTAGCATGTAAGTGGCGGCTTTTTACTTAGACACACAGGTGGGTTAAAAGTACTCGAAAATGACAGTGCAAAACAGTCTATGAGGAAGTAAACACAATCATGGGTTACAAATGTTCATGCTTGACTAACATTATTGGCCTCCGGCAACTGTTCTAAAGTTGAAGTCACGCGAAAGTCCAAATGATTTGAGGAATCCGATTTCCTCTTAAGCTTCTTGTGAATGTCGGTTCAACACTGTCTGAATGTAACGGCAGAAATTCGAAGTTGTGTAGTCGGTTTCTCTGTATGTCAGAAATTAAAAGAGAGAAAAATTTCGCTCTAAAACTTATGATAACCTCAGGTGTACTCTTAAGTTGTACTATGGTTAGTTATCAACCTCGAAGCACCAACACAAAACAGTAATTGATATGCAACAAAATCTGTTTCTTGAACATGAAGATACAATGTTTTTTTGGGCAAAGTTTTTGTAACTAATCTTTTACATTGCGTGGCACATTTGTGTGGAGCTATTTATATTCTTTAATTTGCGGTTGGAATGTCTGGAATGGGACCGATGGAAGAGAAAGATGCTTGCGCACAATTCCTGACTTCTACACATTTGGAGCAGTTGGTTAAGAGTTTATTTTCATAGGTTGATCGAAGTTTTTATCAAATTGGAAATGCAGCATTCGTGACAACTTTGTCGAAAGTATAAGCAGTGATTTTCCGAAGCCTGATTTGCATTGTCTACAGACGACGAAGTTAACTGGCCCGAGCTAAATTTTAACTATTAAAACGAACACTTACTAACTTTGGGTGGCTTATCTTTTCAGAATGACATGTCATCATTATTTTTTTCAAGGAACTCTATATTTACGAATAAAAAGAATTAATGTTTTTCAGTAATTTGGATACTATATTCTACAGTTTTATCGTCTTCTCCAAAATTTCCCTTCCGCTGTTTGTATACCAACATTTATCTGCTTCTGCAGTTTTTTCGCACGAAAAATATCAAAAGTGTCAAAATCTGAAAGCAAATATCAATACAACCGCATTCTGCCGCCACCGCCCTTTAACCTTTGTATGTTTTCCCAGCTAAGAATATCACACAATCAGATCAGCTCCAAGATAACATGGAGATTAACTAGGCCGGTTTTGTTTCATCGCGACAATATCTTTAAAGTAAGGTTGAAGTACTTAATGAGACATTCGAAAATTGACCACCAATACAATGTTTCATGGAATCCATTAGGAAATTGAGTAATTTTAATTTTCAGTGGACAAAAACCTTGTACCAGAATAATTTAAACAATATCGCATTCTTTTTTACATTTTTCAGGGGCTAAAGATTTTTAATTAGTTAACTGTAATAACACCAAAGACTATTTCTCATGGGAGCCGAAGAAAATAAATGTAAATTTTCACAAGAATAGTGAAAACTCAGGTAAAATTCTAAAAATTCCATGTGTAAGATGTCATTTTGTTAAATTTGACATTTATTTTCTCGGCCTCTCATAAGAAATTTTTTCTGGTGTTATTACAGACAACTTATTGCATCTATAGCCCTTAAAAAATGTAAAAAAGAATGCGATTATTGTTTATTATAAATTATTCTTTCTGGTACAAGGTTTTTGTCCTCTGAAAATTAGAATTGCTCAATTTCTTAATGGATTCCCTCACTTTGATACGATGACCATATTAAGAGAAAACTGACTAAAGAAAAGTCAGAATAGAAACTTAAATGTTTTTATGCTTTTTTTATAATATAAACCCCGCAAAAATGTCAAGGCGTAAATTCAATGACAAGGATGGCCATGAACCCTTTTACAGAATGTTTAATGCTGGTCTTAAGCGTTAAGCCGATGTTAGAGTAGAAAATGAAAAAAAGAACAACAAAAATCATTTAGAAGTGCTGCCTTTTCAAAAATAAGAAAGAATATATATAACACTAAAAATAATGTTTTTAAAATGCCATTTTCGTTTAAAACAATCATCAAGAATGGGCTTGAATAGCTACTAGAACAGGTCCATTTCTGACATTTCTCATATATTTTTTGCATATGACTAATTGACTGTTTTGTTATAGAAAAACAAAACTGACAGCACAATTTTCAAGCACGTGAAAGAGATAAATGGATTTCACACGTTTTCGTCCCATAAGTACTACAGGGAAACTCCACATGATATGTACATAGCACTTCAGAAGGATGGAATACCAAGGAAAGGCAACAAAACGTGCAGGCTTCATAAGGGATCGCAGTTTTTAATTATTTAGACCTGTCACAGTCTTCTATGAACATTAATATCTACTATCAGATAGGTTAACGGATTACTGCATGATGCAATTTGTGGTGTGTGGGATTTGTTGAAAGTGTTGACATATAGACTATACAAAATAAGACGACTTATAATACAGTAAAAACCCGTGAGTAAGAACCTGATTTTTAAGAAACTGTTTGGTAAAAATTTCCCAGTTAGGCCGTTTCTATACAAGAGCCTGTTTAGCCTTTAATTTGAGGCAGGCTTTTATTTTCTGAAATCTATATTAAAAAAATTCTCTACACTTGGGCAAATAAGATAACTCAACATTCAGGATCCTCTTTGGAGACATAGGTGCCTTATCACTCCAACTGCAATGTAATGGTACTCATGCAGATTTTATGTAAGGAATAAGCAGAATACCACTAAATACTCTTAGCTACAATGTATTCTCTCTTTTCAGAAAATAAGAACCGAGCCTAAATAGCCTAAATTTGTGCTAATTACCATTTATGTAAGAACCTGTTTAGATTAACTAAGAAAATGAAGGTTCTAACTCTCTGGTTTTTACTATATGTATTTTTTTCATTTGGCCGGTAAAGCGTTGACGGTTATATATGTTACCAAAACAAATTATGATTCTTAGTAACTCGTTAAAGGTTGGGCTGAGAACCGTTCTTCATTTCCAAAACAGAACTACTCATTAACCTGAACTAGGAACTGTTCTGGAAAATTGTGATTACTAAAAACAACAATTCTGACCTGGGTCTCGAAGGAATCATTTTGGAATGAACGTTTCAAATTTTTGGCAGAAAATAATGTATTTAAATTCAGACTTCGATTTCCAAAGGAAAAAAAAAACACAAAGCGGATAGAATGTTCTGTTTTAGTATTTCAACGAGTGCTTAAAAGAGTATTTTTATTACATATATTATTTTTCTTAATTTTTGTCAAATTATATCACGATACATAGTAAATTATGACGAAACAAACAAAATGAAATTAAAACAACGGCCAGAATTATACTGGATTTGTTATTATTTATCAATCTATTTATCACAGAAGTTGGTGCCTTGCTTATTAATTCCTTGATAGTAACAACTGTCAAAGAAAAAGTAAAACTAGAAACATTATAAGATACTGAATAAGGTGAGGTAAGATATAGTGAGAACTGAAAAAAAAAAGAGGTTCACAAAAATATGGAAGAAACATGTAGACGTAAAGGTGTTGGTAATTCCTTACTCATCGTTTTTATGATTATAACTATTAGTTGAATAGGTTAAAGGGAAATAATAAGAAACTGAATATTGTGAGGACCTGTAATGAGAAATAAAGATAAAGTGGGAACAAATTTGAAAATTGAGGTTATGATATCTCCCCTGTTATATACAGGTCATCGTTAGTAGCATGGTAACTTAATGAAGTAAGCCTATGTGTATATTAGAAAAATCGAACTGGAATGTGGTTTTATTCAACAGACAATGGAAAATTTTATTGGCCTGCGAGCAAGCTTTGCATTTCAGAAAATATCGGGAAATAATTAAAATAATTTTTTATGGTATTGACTACGCGTGGCCGCCATGTCACGTTGTTGCAAACCAAGAATAATTCTCGAATCATCGTCAGGGTCTAAGATTGTGAATTGTGATCAGCTCAATTATCTTAAACGTTTGATAGCGCTATCCAACGGGTAGCGCATGCGTAATATGTGCGATTTTGAATCACACGTGTCATCAACGTCCTCGTGTTATCAACACGAAGTGTATCTTCAAACAACAAGATATGAAATGACCCAGTCATCATGTAAATGCGATGCGAAATCAAAAAGTCGTCCCGGTATGCCGAACTCGCGGTTTCTCATGTAAACGCCCCCTTAGTTTGTGGTTTTGTGGCTAGATCTTTGATGTGATTGTTCATAACACAATAGACATTCCTGACATATTTCAAGTGCTCACGATTTTCCCGGTTGCACTGTAATTCTGTTGTGTTGAATGATTTGTTGCGTTCGAGGTAACTCTTAATTTCTGTTGGGTGTCCTGTGCAGTTGATAGACGAGATTTTGTGTCGACACACATTTGCCTCGCCTTGAGGCGCGTTGTGCCGCACTTTGACGCTCTAACTTGCTTGGTGATTAGTGATCATGCGTTCCTGTCTTCGTAAAGCGTTTTTCATCTTTTTCTTAATCGTCCGTCGTAAAGCGACTTGTTCATCTTTTTCTTGATCGCCGGTGCTGTGTTGGTAACAGTCTTTCTCACCAGGGAACTGGTATCTGTCGTATCTATTTTGTGACACTCGTTCATCGATGAAATATTGGCGATTCTCTGTTTACTTCAGGTTTGTTTTTCCCTTTTTTCTCGCAGTGTTCAATTAATTAACTCCATTCTAAGATAATCGGATATGTAGATATCATGTCAACAATGTGTTCTGCACACTGTATTTGTTTCTATGAGCAAAGATCTTATATCAGATCATATATTTAACTTAATTTTATACAAATTACATCTAATCGCCAATTTAAAAGCTATTTACAGCGTTTTGTTCGCTTTTGTTTGTCACCATTTTTGACAATTATACCAGAAGTTGAATGTTGAAACGTTGACCTTTTCATCTCTCCAATTCCGGGTGCGTTGTATTTGGGAAACAGTGCTAAATTGGTAAGTCGTGTTAACCGATAGTAGTGAACTTACGCAACAGGACGGGAGAGAAAAAGAGGACGGCAACCCTTACGTGACAAGCGTGACGATAATTTTGTTTGAATCAACTTTTCGCCAAACTTCACTTTCCTTTAAACAGATCTTTCTGTAGAGGACCAGAAAACATTGTTTATTTGGTGTGAAGTGAAGATAACGACAAGACAAGCAAGTAACAGCCCTGTCACACACAAGTGTTTTGCCGTCCTCTTCTTCCTCCCGTCCTGTTGCGTAAACTCACTAATGTCACACAATGTGCGCGATGACGTTAGGGTTTAGTAGAGGCTAGGCCTTCTGGGAGAGATCTGCCAGAAAACGTGTTGAGTTTTCTTCTTAGAACAATGTATGAGTGCGAACCTCGTGAGCCTGTCGGAATCTGGAAAAATCCTGTGAATCTTCGTGAAAACCTCCTCTTATAACCTAAGAAACGAGCCTTTGAATACAGGCAAATACAGTTCAGTTCAAATTCGTCTACACACAACAAGGGTTTAAAGTGATACGCGACGCTTTGACATCTCAATCAATGAACTTTTCAGATGACCTTAATTTTCTGTATCCCAATTTTTAGCCAATTTTATTGACCATCCTACGGTTCAAAAGAAATGTCCTGAGGATCAGAATCAGTGTTTGACCCGTTGTCACTTGTATGTACTTAGAGGTTTAGAGCACTGCTACCTGTACACCTCTTAATTATATAAATATTATAGCTAACACGCAGGTCGAACGCACTGTTCTAAGCTCCGATTACTCCTAGTATTATTAGAAGTAGTGAACTTTATTAACATGTCAAGAATCTCTAGCGCATAGCAGTAACTGGTGACACAAAAGTTGCGAAGTATTTGAGTGGAGCGCTTGTAAACCAGCTTGATAAGCTAAGTTATACCGAGTGCACTTACCATTGTAAACAAACTTATTATTATTATTATGGCAGTACAAACGTCTGGATACCCAGAGTAATTATTATTATTATTATTATTATTATTATTATTATCATTATCATCAATATTACCATCATTATTGTTACGATCGCGTCGAATGACATCATTAGGTTACGAAATCAAGCAATCAACATCTCTGACAGACTACACGTTGATCAACCTGAAATTACAATGGGCGGTATATATGCAGTTCCGACTGTTTAGTTTTGATAAATTTCGTGACACAGCTCCTTCAAAACCTGAAAAGATAAGAACGGGTTCTATTGTATTTCATCTCAGAAATTTGAGGCTAGCTTTTCTTTCCCTTCCTATAGTTATTTTGTAACGATGATACTTCAACTGAAGTACTCCATTCCCTTCGTGTTGCATATCACGTGACCAAATTATACCTACAGCAATCAGGGAAGAAAGGGCAACGACGATCGTGATTTTAGCCTTTTCTTAAAATTTTGCTTAGATTATTAATTAAGAAAATACAAGAAAACAAATACAAATTTGTCTGAAATAGATGTGCTCCAATGTCACTATGCAATGATATATATAAAGATAGAAACAAATAAATCACTCGCATGACAATTGAAAGCTTGCATAGAACGGGCATTGTCTTTCCAAGCTTTCTTTCCTCAAAAATCGATTACCCATTTTGTATCATTACCTTAGGATTTCGCGACGTTCCAATGCAAAGATATGCAATGAGTGACAACAAATGAACAATCGTAAACATTTCTCTCTGATCATATTCAGTCCTAACGCCTGCGTGTCACTGTCACGCAACAAAAAATATATTGGAAACAGTCCAGTGGAAGAAGCAAAGAAAATTAACTGCTATAAGAGAGTTATTTGTCAAAACGTCTCACGCACCGTTGTAGAGCTTTGTATGGAGACGCCATATTGGAGTACCGTTTTGGTGCACCAATATGGCCGCCGGAAATCAACGAAAACATCTGGAGTTCACTTTTTCTATAAAAGCTCTTTCTTTCCCTCGAGAACTAGCATACGTACGCATAAACATATCTTCTAATGCTTGAAATGGTTATACTGCTGAAAATCAAGAGGAGAGACTTTTTTTCAACGAGACAGCATTCAGGGCCATTTTGGTGTCACGCACTGTTAAATCTAGGAGGTTCAAATTGCTGTATTTTCGAAATGAAACATGCTACGGGAATGGAAACTTATACAACGATTTACTTTTTGTCTATCTTCAACCTAGTGTAAATTCGTAAAACCTCGCTATTTTGACTTTACAATTTGACGACGTCACCGTGAAAATCATCTATAACCGAAGGTTAAGACTAAGCGAGTCTACAAAGTGTAGATCAAACCTACAACTGGCTTTGCTTGCCATTGCCGTGTTGAGCAATCAAGTTTTATGGAAGAAATGCGCTCTCGTTTTCGCTTTAAATGGACTATCCAACTGAATGCCAATTTCTGGAGGTATCTTTCAGCAAAAGGTCATGATTTCAAGCATAAAAAGCACAATATTTTTCGTGATGTGATTTGTTTTTTATTATTCTCATTACAAAAATTAATAATCACTCTATGGTCATTAGGACACCGTTTGCATTTAGCTTTTGCATAAAGGCTTAAAAATCGGAAACTATTTAATCACATCAACTACTAAAGTGGCGAATCTAAAGCTTTTGACCAGAGAAAATAAGGGAGACCACCTCGAAGGCCATCAGCTGAGAAAGAATATACCCAAATGGAATCGTCAATTTGAAGATGAAAGACCTTAATCACTTGGCTACTGTGAATGCGGAAGTCAAAATTCTAAAGAAAACAAGAGCTAAACGAAATGGAAGAATCCCTGCGGTGTAGTTAACACCTCTATGTGTTTGTTTGCGTTATTTTATAACATTGTTACCACCATAAGCAAACAGGAAAAATCAATTAGCGCCCAAGTTTTGCCTCTCTATTTCTTCCGTTTTTTGATTATTTAGCCTTGATCTTTCCATAAACGTTGCAATTTATTGTGTTACCAATATCGAAGAAGTCATGCGATCAAGTAATTAAAGAAAGTCTCATCATGATAGTGAGAGAAAAGTCTAAAATGTCTAAAACGCGCTGATTTAGTAAATTAGAGAAAGAGATGCCAATACATACACAAACCATGGCGTAGATGCACTTAAATGTGGCAAACAGAGCTCCATTAATTGTTAGAACTGCGTCATCATGATCGTACAGTCATCATTCTTAGCCAGTTATGAATTTCTTTTTCTGGAAATTAACAGCACTAAACATGATTTATTCTTTTGAACGTGATCATATCAATATGCAGTGCTTATGCAACTTTAGAAAATATGACATTTGAAAAATTTGCTAAAATTGAATTCCGTGATTCGCATTTAACTGACGCTGACTAAAATATGTCTCCTACTTTTTTTGCAACACCTGACATGAAAACAGGTGAGATACATTCCCGGTATTTCGCCTTAAAATGTTGATACAGTTCGGTTGTACTCGTTTTGGGAAGGAGATTTGTCGATCCACTATATTAGACATAACTGATTATGCTCTAATAAGATTATTTGACATTCAATTACCAATGTTTTAAAAATAAGATTAATGGGTTATTTGCGATTTCTGCTAACTCATTCACATTACCGTGCATTTGTCTTCAAGTACCTATGAAACAAATTAAAAGTTGTCGGGTACCCTTACTAATTGCTAAATAGTTACGCGATCGGTCTAATGTTTTACAGTCTGAGATTAATGTTTTAAATTCTGCCTTATAGAAAAATAAATGACACCGCTATTTAACTGAAAGAACAGAAACTTAAACAATTTTGAGGTATTTACAGCTATCGTGCTGCACCAACGGTGGCGTGACTGCCTTAAAAATAATAACACAGGCATATAGCGTGACGAGGGACCCATTACAAGATTCTGTAAATTTTGTAAATTTTTGGGATTTTTGTTCCGAACAAACTAAGCATGAAATTGGTTTTCTTCAGGTGATTTTTGAAAATAATGGGTCGTTAATTTTGTTCCGATTCTTCACGTTCATTCCGGTGAACAGCAAATTAATTAACATTTGACATGAAGGAAGGATATTACTGAGTGTTCTGGTTTTCTGATTGGCTGATCATTTACAGCTTACCAGTGGACAAAGTCCGTATATACGCAATGGCTGGCAGTTATTTTGACTAGCCTTACTTAAAGACAGTCCCCTTGACATATTTGTGTGGATGAGTTATTCTAAGTAGACGAATGTTTTCAATTCTGTCCTTAGTGCCTTGTTAACAATGCTGACAGGAAACATCAATGTTTAGTTTTTGGGGTTGGTCGATTAATAAATGGCTTAGAGCACGGACTAAATCACTTTATTTAACGATCGTTGTTCATTGTTTTCCAACACCCTTAAGACAATCAAAAGCCATCAACTGATCAAGTCTTCGAAGTAACAGATTGGTCGACATTTTAGCTTGAAAAGCTAAGATTGATCGACATTTTAGCTTGAAAAGCTAGCTGGCTAGCTTGAACAAGTTTTAATAGGACTTCTTCTTTGAGTGTTCTGTGAAATATCCTCAAAGCGATAAAGGAATGCGAGACAAGGTCATTCGGCTGTGAAACGAGCCTTATAAGAGAAATGATCGTTAAATGAGAAAACTAAGCATTGACCTAACATCCATTATTGATATAAATATTGCTACAGGGTTGTTCTTCGTGGGGATCTCATTTTAAGTATCACTAACCGCTACTGCGACAGTCTCCTAGAAAGTTTCAAGTGAGCTAGAAATACAATGGTTCGTTCGTTAAAAGGTTTACCCTTGGCCATACTACAGATGCTTAGCAAAACGTTCGAACTTACAATAAACAGCTGAGAATAATTGCAATAATTGCAAGTTTCCATTAAAAGTTTATTTAAATCCAAGAAACAACAAGTTACAACTTTCTATCTTTAATTTATTATTCTTATATATATATATATATACTTGTATTCTGGATAGAACGTATTCCGTAGAGCGCTCAATTCATTTAATTGAAGGCATTTCAGGATTACTAATCACAGGAGTTCATCCTTATAGGAGTAATCATTGAATTTTTATTTTAACGGTCAATCGTTGTTTCGTGTGGTCCGAAATTTAGGACCATACGAATCAGGCACTTCAACGATTAAACGATCAAAAATTAAAAGCTGGCAGTAAATATGGGATGCGTTAAGAGATAGTATCTAGGTAACAGATGGATTGTGTCTTAGTTACGTTTCTAGAGTTCAGAATACATATATATATATATATTTATATATAATTCTCTATAGAACTGAGTTTAAGACGTTATTAAAGATATAGTTTTAAAGGTAGTATCTTTCACCATTCACTTGTTTCTACCGTAACATTAACTTTTAGAAATTCGTTCTTAAAGGAAAACTATTTTCCTTCGCTTAAAATTAGAGTGGGGCAAGAACTATTAGAACTGTCTTGATCTGGACAAAAGGAAATCTCCTCTTGGATGTTGGATTATTGAAATTTCTATTCCACCGGAATAAACTGCGTTTTTTTCCATTTTGAAATACTGTAATGAGAAGGTCGTAAAAGGACGGAGCATGAGAGTTTATGATAAGCAAGGCACCACAAACATATCAACTAACACAAAGCGTAAATCGTTTTCATTGTGGATAAAACATCGATGTTAACGGAAAAAGGGAATTTTCCCAATTACAGGCGTTATAGTTACTAGAGCGCCAGACATTTTTTAAAATTAGTATTGGTGCTCATCCTAATACGACCCCCAAACTGAAACAAATCTTCGTGAACATAACTTTGGGTACCATTGAAAATATGTAACTTTTTTCTCTTTTGGAGATAATTAAAAATATCTTGAAGACAAAAAACGTGAGACAGCTAAAAAAACGAATCAAGCTGTTTGACAGATTTCATCGTTTACAACTACATGCATGTTAAATATTCTTTTCGATTTCTAGTTTTTTAAAATATTACGTTTCATAAATAACTCTAAACATATGAAAATAAATATTCTTGAAATAAAATTGCTATATATAAATAATTCACTTTGCCAAAATTGCATTTAAAAATTCTTTAAAATGTAATAAATTAAAAATTATTCAGTATTTCCATGGGGAGAGTAAAGCTTCAAGAGGTGTCCTGTTCTTTCAGTATCGTCAGTTGCGTAGCTTTGTTACCTCTTTTGGTTCTCGTCCCATTCTTCATGTGACCTGTTCGAGTCCTAATGGCTAAAAAGAGTGGCTTGTTATACTTGCTGTTTTTTGGAATGTAATATTTATACGAAGCGAAGGTATGATGACCATCTGGTTCGTGGGTTTCTTGGAATATTGTTTCGTCAGTTGATGATCCCTGCAAAAAACATACAAACAAAAAGTTGTTAGTGAAATATTACTAATGATTGCATATCTCTTTAACTTTTTTTTGAAAAATCACAGATTTGCTTTCGGCTCTTCGATTTTTGTTGTTAGGAATTTGTGAAAGATATAGGCCGTGACCCGATGGACCCGTCCATTTTTATTCGGGGGCGTCAGTCACAATAGATTACAACTTGTAATAAATCATGCACTTAATTTCCTTTCAATTTTTTTTTCTTTTTTATTGCGGCAAGCGAACGACGCATTAAATAAACAAGTAGGAATTGTTACTAAATTATCACAAGAATATTAAACGTGGGAAGCAATATTTGCCCGAGAATAACAACACATATACTGACGCGACTTTCTTCCAAAATCATGCAAATTGTTACAACAACATGCGCTTAGTAATCTATCAAATATAGACATTGATTGAAGGTTAACAATCACACTTTAAAACCAAATCCCAGTAAAACTGTAGCCAATAAGCCTCTGGACGAAGAAATACGCTCGAGCATTACTGCAACTGAAGTCGAATTAATTTTCAAATGAAAGAATTTCACTGTATAATGAGGCATTAGACATTTTACCAATTATTAGCGGCGCAATGTAGGCCTAACATCGGTAAAGGTTAATTTCCCGACCCTCTTGATACACTCAAGATTTTCACTTAGTCGTTAGTATCATTTAAAACTCGTACCCTCTCAGACACCTGGTATTTCCAATGGTTATATCTTTCCACGAATTTGTTTCATGAAGTAGAAGAAATATTACCTAGCATTATAACTTTTAACGATAATGTTAATGATAACAAACAATGACGTTAACTATCTTACCGTAGTGTATACCCCTCCTGTAGAAGACATGGCTACGTAAAGGGACGCTTTCTTGCTAAAAAGTTGGACCAAGCTCGTCCCAACTGATCGCTGTTGAAGTTTTACTGCAAGAAATAATAATTAACAAATGAAGGGCATGACTCTGTCTAAGCGCTCAAGATTACGAGGCTAGTGCTGTATTGTAAGTTATTGAGTTGCGGAGGCCTATTGTCCGAGCACAACATATTAACATACGCAAAGAGACATCTTTAGTCGTAAATGTTCAGTTTAATTTTCTATATTGCAATGGAGCTAAAAGTGGAATATTTTAGTCATTCTAAGCAGAACGCTGAGACAACAATATAACTACAAAGCAACTTAAACGTAACATGTTGACTTACTGTCTGGGCTCCGAGCATCAGAAGTTCCATTGATATTGCCGTCATTATAGACAGCTAAAAACCACCCGTTTTTGTAAAGGAGAGAAACATCGCAGCTCGCTGTGTGTCTTGAAGTGTGTTGAGACACTTGAGATCTTGATGCTATGGAAGGAACTCTTGTCCCATTGGCGCGTCTTCGTTGTCTTAGTCGCATGATCTTGCTTAGCCTTTCGGAAACAGGCCTAGCCCCAGATGAAGCGATAAAATACATGAAAACAAGGGTATATATAACCTGCCAAACAAGGGAAATTTACGTGAAAAAATGTTCTGTTTATTTTTAGCGGCATAACAATAGTTTAATGCCTCAATGATCTCTTTTATAATGCTTAGTTCTGCTCTTATTTATGGCTTTCTTGTTCAATAATAAACGAAGTGCTTAATTTCTTAGCAAGTCACGGACACTTCAAGTAACTTAACTGCCTTAAGCCTCAATATATGAATAACAATTCTCTCCACTTCATGTTCAAAATTAACATTTATGCTGTAAGAGAATTTGGTAGTGGAACAAACTGCTTCGCTGATGGAATACCTTATTCTCAAAACCTTCAACTTTCATCCACAGTGTAAGAGAATCTCGGAAATGATCATTCATTGTGGTTGACAAAAAAATTGCATTCTCTACCACTAAGATTCACCCAATTTCCGGAATTTGAAAACCTAAGCTGAAAAATGACAATAGATCGAACGTAACTGCTCTTCAATTTCAGTTTGCAAAATATAGGTGCAAAATTTGCAACGTTAGCCAATTTCAAAACCAACAGCCCCTAGAATTTTTAATAGAAATATGCCGTTCCAGTTGAATTGCCCTTTCTTCGTCTCAGGGAAATTCCCTAATAACCTTAAAACAGCGATTACAATTGAAAGTAGCAAACACGTGTGTTAAAACAGAAATGAAATATGATGAAACTTTTCCGAACTTTCATATAACGGGGGAATCGTATAATCAAATAACATATTAAGTATGTTAGAAATAACAGCTCTACTAAAACACCAAGGTGTAAATTTCATTTTTCGTTTGTTACTGGCAATGAAATAAATCTCAAAAAGAAGATGATAGTTTGATGACTTGCAAAAAGGGCACACTTCAAAAACGGCTTTTTGTCATGCACATTAAAATTAAAACTCTACAGAATTAAACACAACTTAAAACAGTCTCTAAATGTCGCCAGAAATTATTACATTTCTTACATAAAAATAGAACAAATTTACCTGCAATAAGCCCATTTCAGTCTTTTTGTCCGTAAGCAACTAAAAAATGCAATGTAAAAATCCTGGGATATTATTCTTAACAGCAAAGTCGATCTTCTATGATTTCAAGACTCCACTCGCTAAGTAGATGTTAGCGTGTCGAGTATCGCTCTTTGTAATATTCTGAGGCTTTGCAAGTCTCTTATATTAGCCATAACGGGTTTCCGGGGTAACCATTACTAACAAAGACTACTAAAATGACGTAATTACTTTGAAATTTCAACCAAAATCCCCCCTAAACGACGTCCTGCGGATAAAAAGAGCCAGAAAAAAACCGCAATTACCGGAGACTATTTTTTTAATTCAGCATCCTACACTAGGATTTCAAGGAGGGATTGTGAAACTTCCTTTAAGCAAGTTCCAGCGAAGAGAAGAGTGGAAAAAAAAGAGTCCCTAGGGAAACTATTAAGAAACAATTTTGATAACTAAGTGTGGAGGCTTTGGATCTGAGCAATTTTGCAGGTGAGTCAGTAAACTCTGTGTTACTATGCGTGTTAGGCAGCCTGTAGCTGCAGCTAAGGGCGTGTATTGACTTTTTTCTTTACAACAATATCGCGATGAAAGTGCAGTAGAAACGCATGGTTGCCTTTGAATGACCCGGCAGGTCACTTTATAGAAAACAACAGTTCTTTTCTACAGCTTGACGTGTTTATCCGCAAATAACAAAGCATATTTCGAACTAGTTAAACCGCATACACTGCTAGACTGCTCTTTTCGTAGCATACATAAACTCGCTGATGAAGTTTGACCGAAGCTTTTGTAAACACTTTATTTGCGAGACCCATGATTATACCAAGCATTCAGCAAGGCTATATTTCGGCAGATTTTTTGTGCAAGGTTATGTAAATATTGCTTCATGACTTATTCAAATATCTATGCAGCTAAGTGAAGAACAATTTCAGATCTCCTTAAGGCCTCTTAAAGTTATCGTTAGCTCAACATTCCGACATTACGTGTGTCCTCAGCCGTGTGTCAGCAGGAACATCGCAGATTTCCTTGTTACCCGCTCAAGAACTTTGAATAAATTCACGTTAAACAAATGCCATTAATTACGCTAAATTGTTGCATTTCCGAATTATAGAAATAGGGCAAGAACGAGCCTGTCTTGCTGTGTTAAGAGCAGGCGGGAAGTTTGCTATAACCATTGTGCTTTTCAAACGAGGCGACTAACTGACTTGTAGCTATTTATAGCTATATGGGCTATATAGTACTTTCACAAAAATAGCAAAAAACATACGTTTTGGGAAAGCGATTCGAACTGGTGCTGGTTCATATTTTAAGAAAGAACACTAAAAATTTGATAAAAAGTAAACGCTTGTTTTCAAATCAGTTTCTATATCTTCAGACGAGATTATCCTTCCGTTTTGTTTTAGAAACCCCATTTCTAACCTTAGTTCCGCTCAGCAGTCCAAACAAATCTGTGGGTTTAAAAAATTAGGATAGATTATGAATTCTCTTATTATTCCAGGGTAAATTTCTGTTGGCTGTTATTGTTATACAAAGCACAATATTGTGTTCAAGTATAAGACATCACGACTCGAAAAAGTGACAAATATTTATGAAGCCAAAATTAAGATGATATTGATCTTGAGTTGATTTCGTCAACTCGCAAGGTTATTATACTGTATCGTTACTTTTATACCGAGGTTTGGTTTCAAACGCATTTCATATGCCATCTATTAAAGAGAATGATTAAAGTGTTGGAAATTTCAAAATAGCATGTCGTTCTTTCGAGATTAAGAAATGTATGCAAAGAATGTATCCGTCTCTTAAACATGAAGGGTAAAATTGCTTTCTCGTCAAAAATATTTAGCTCGTCCTTTTGATTCGTCAAGAATCCTTCACTTATGTTAACTCGCACTTAAGTGACTTGTATACTTTTGCACGCACACGACATGCATCGCGAGCGTACATAAATCGTGGAACAAGTTGTTACGAGTTTGCAATGAAGTAGCCAGTGGAAAAACAGTGTGCCACGTGTCAAAAGCCACGCCCGATTGCCTGTTAATCGCTCATTTCCGTTCACTTGTTCTATTGTATTATGGCTTTTTCGCAAAAAAGGGGAAATTTTTTCACGCAATCAAACCTTGATCACCTCGAAAATTCTTGGGTAACAAGTAGGATACTCAAAATAACGTTTTGGTTTTATTGTGGCGAGCATCTGACTTGCTGATTTACGTCAAACTTTTAGCCGAATGAATACTTAAAATTATCCACGCCTACTCTAGTTATTCTATTGAATTTTTCCCACACGAATTTTTGAACACTTAACCGATTTCACCCATGAAAACACTCGAAAACTTTATAATTATAAATAAATAAATGTGCGTTCACATGACGTGGTTTGACTTTGAAATTTCCGTGCAAATTCATGCTTACAGCCGGTGAGTTTCAGACGGCCTTGATTAAGGCCTGCTGAATAACTAGAGACAGGAAATATACATAGACATTACATGTTAACTTTTATTATTATCAAGACACTCACGTCACAAGTTAAATATATCACAGACTATAAAAACTCTGGGTAAGGTGTGTCAGCTGACAATGCAAAGTATTAATACCCGAGCTTAACAGACCGGACTTATTATTCGTGGCAAACGATCTACAAATTGCATTATGCTCTATCACTGAGCTGAGTAGTAATGCTTAGCATGATTAGTGAATGTGTACTGACTGAAGTTGTTTAGTATATAAACAATAGTGTTATAATAATATTGCTGTTTTTATACTTACCCTCTATAGCCAAAAGTTTTTGGACTTCGAACAACTGAAATAGTTTAACTTGTTCACTGACTTGGTCTGAAATAAAACGAGCAAATAAGGCAGCTGCCTCCTCGAACATCGACCGACTTTAATGCTCAGTGAATCGTAAAATTCACTGCTATTATATTTTTGGTTCACTAATTAAAGTAAAAACTTGTTTGGTATTTTAGCCTCAAAGTACCTGGCCCGGCTGTTCAAAGCAGGATAAAATTACCTCGGATTAGCGCGATTTTCGTGACTTTTAACAAATTCCCCTGTTGATTATTATTTTTCCCTACAATTTATTGTTTCAACTCTAATGAGATGAATAGAAACTATGCTATTAAATTAAAGAAACAGGAAACCATGATAAAATCGCCGTGCCTTCTTCGAACAACAGTGCTGGTAGTTAAAGGAATCAATTCTTGCATCAGGCACTTTTCCTGATCGGTTTAGAATCGAAGGCGGAATCATGCACATCGCCACTAACAAGACGTTCAGGAGTTTGATCATGAATTGCCATATAATCCCGAGTGCATATCCCGGATACCGCTTGAAGCAGGGCTCTTTCCGTAGCAGCATCGATCGTTAATGTTTCCTAATCCGTTATCAAAGGTGTCATTTAGCAATATGTAACCGAAAATACTCTCCAAGACAAATCTGCTGAAAGTGAGAGTCAAATATCTCATGATATATCAAGTGGGGAAAATAACCACTGAACTACTGAGTCAACAAAATATCGACGTCTGGTTCCGCGACATTTTATATCATGTAGACAGCAACTGGGATCAGAGCAAGACATTTCTCTACAAGAAATTGAAACGAATGCATAAAAAGTAAAGAAAACGAATACAGTTAGATTCTCTTCTATGTGAAAAACACAACATTTTATTAGCGCTTTATATATGAAAGAGATGCCGTTCATCTTCTCGATACATAGCTAGATGATTTTAGAGGTCTCCATTTTTTGCAACCGTTGATAGTGGATTGGTATCGGTAAAACGCAGATGAAAATTTCGGTCCAACTTTTATGGTGACATTCATTAATGTTGCTACAGTTGAGATTTAAACATAGTCACAAAATGACAAAATCATGATGTTTAGGATTTCACTGAAGCGGAAAATAATTCACTGTTATGAGCTTACCATACATGTAAGTTATATATGACAACTCAAAATCAGATAAGACATACAAAAAGAATTCTTATTGAAGGTTTTTTC